GGTTCGTGGAGCCGCGGTTGGGGCTGGCCGCGCTGAGGCGCTCCCTGCAGGCCGGGAATGGCTGCGGAGGAGTCTCGTTGCCTGCTGGGTTACCCTGACTCCGATTCCTGTCCGAGGTGAGCGCGGGCGCCGCGACACCGCCGCTCTGGCGGGCTCGGGGACGGCGCTGACTGCCCCGGAGCTTGGCCGCGGCGAGCTCCGGGCCGGGCCCTCTGTCGGGTCCGCCTGAGCGTTACCAGCTCCGGTGAGGGGCTGGAGGCGGGAGGTGGGGGTGGCATGATCCTTGTCAGGCCTCTCATGCTTCAGAGTGCAGAACACGAAGCTGTACCTGGCCGCGTTCGCCGCTGTCCTGGGACCGCTCAGCTTTGGCTTTGTGCTGGGTTATAGCTCGCCTGTTATTCCAGAGTTGAGGAAAATCAACGATCCTAAGCTAAGATTGGACAGCAGCCAAGCCTCGTGGTTTGGGGTAGGTCTCTGTGTGATGTATTGCCGTTTTGTGATTTCACTTGAAAGCATAGGTCCAAGAAGATGCTGTTTATGTGATGGGGCCGTACTCCTCTAAGGCTGGAGAGTTGGGCAGAGAGAAACCTGATGAAATTTAACAAGGGCAAGTGTAGGGTGCTGCAGCTAGGGAGAAATAACCCCCTGCACCAGGACAGGTTGGGGGCTGACCTGCTGGAGAGCAGCTCTGAGGAAAAAGACCTAGGAGTCCTGGTGGACAACAAGAAGACCATGAGCCAGCAATGTGCCCTTGTGGCCAAGAAGGCAAACGGCATCCCGGGGGGCATCAAGAAGAGCGTGGCCAGCAGGTCGAGGGAGGTCATCCTGCCCCTCTGCTCTGCCCTGGTGAGACCCCATCTGGAGCACTGTGTCCAGTTCTGGGCTCCCCAGTTCAAGAAGGACAGGGAACTACTGGAGAGGGGACAGCAAAGGGCAACAAAGATGATTAAGGGCCTGGAGCATCTCCTACAAGGAGAGGCTGAGGGGCTTGGGTCTTTTTAGTTTTGAGAAGAGAAGGCTTAGGGGGGATCTAATCAATGCTTACAAATACTTAAAGGGAGGGTGTCAGAAGGATGGGGCTGGTCTTTTTTCAGTGGAGCTCAGTGACAGGACAAGAGGAAATGGGCACAAACTTGAGCATAAGAAGTTCCACCTAAATGTGAGGAGGAACTTCTTTACTGGGAGAGTGGTTGAGCACTGGAACAGGCTGCCCAGGGAGGTGGTGGAGTCTCCTTCTTTGGAGACATTCAAAACCTGCCTGGACAAGTTCCTGTGCAACCTGCTTCAGGTAGACCCACTCTGGCGGGAGGGTTGGACTAGATGATCTCCAGAGGTCCCTTCCAACTCCATACGATTCTATGAATGTATTTTTGGTGCTAAAATGGCTTCTAACCATTCTCATGTTTCTCAGTTGAACCTGTTAAGGGACCACAGAAAATAAATTTTTAATAAGTTAGTGTAATCCATCAATGCAGGGAATATATGTTTTTTAAGATGTAGGCTAGACTTCAGTTTAGTCAAGATAACAAACTCTTCGGGGCCTTAAAACAGTTTGAGGCCTGTTTGGTAATGGACAGCTTTGTAGACAGATTAGGAAACAGTTACTGCTGCTTTTTTTCCTTCATTGAAAGAGGCTTTTATGTAATATGAAAATTACTTGCATTTCAGTTGTGGTGAGTAGTGCTTCTTGACTATGTTTTGATTAAGGAGTTAATGTTTCTTTTGATTTTTCAAAACACCTGCATATTCTTGCACATTTTTTTAGAAGCTGCTACTTCTCAAGATTTTAAAAGAAATTGCTGTTATTTATTTGTATGTATGTAATGTTTTTTTTTTAATTTGTTTTTTGAAGTCAGTAGTAACATTAGGAGCTGCTGCTGGAGGAATACTAGGAGGCTATCTTGTGGATAAAGTTGGGAGAAAGCTGAGTCTAATGCTGTGCTCAATACCATATGTTTTTGGATATGTAGTTATTATATCTGCTCAGAATGTTTGGATGCTTTATTTTGGACGAGTGCTGACAGGCTTGGCCAGTGGAATTACTTCACTTGTTGTTCCGGTAAGTAAGATGTTTTTCTGGGGGTGTGTGCATGCATGGTTGCTTTTTTTGTTTGTAGGGTTTTTGTTTCTTTTTCCATAACAGTATTATAGGTGGCTTAGGTGAACTGAGTAATTAGCCAGTTTGTGGATTTAGACGGAAGTAATTTTTATAAAATTATATTTTGCTTTTTGTTAATCATGAAGAAAATTGAAATAAAGTTAGTTTTGCTATGTGTTCCTGATACAGTCATGTGATCTTTCAGATTATTAGTCTCTTATTTGATTGCTTCTGTTTATGTTCTACTATAGTCTAGTAATTTTTATCTCTTAAATTTCCTCATATATAACATTAGGGGGCACTTAGTTTTGGTGTGGGTTTTTTTCTATTACCAACTGCTTTTAAGTCTTACATTTCACCAAACTCCTTGGTTTTACAAATAAACTCTGGCTGCTTACTCATCCTAGAGTAGTGCTTTCTGATTCCATTTAGCTGTTATTTTCTGAATATTAACTTTTCCCATGCATTCAGGAATGCAGTAGGGAAGTTGAGATAATTCATTCTGTTGTTGTCTGTCTTCTCTGGTATTATTTAACCTTTTGGATCTAGCTGAACAGGTAATAGTGTGAAATGAACCATCTAGAATTCGTTTGTTTCTTTTCTGGTGGTTCCAGCATTTCTAGCTTTTGAAGTGAGATGCAGACTAAAAACCAAAGAGTAAGAAGCATTCATAATGAAGTATGAAATAAATGCTTGTTCTTTATCAATCTAGATAATTATAAAAATAAAATTTAAAAAAAGGTTCAGGGTAGTAGGGTCTAAATGATAATCTTGGGCAACTTTATCTGTTGTTGGAAGCTTGGTTGCTTAGTCTGTTGTGTTAATTCTTTAGAGGAATTCTGTGTGCTTTACAAATGACTGCTTTCTCTTTGTTTCACGGAGCTGAGGTCTAAGTTCCCAAATGTAAAGGGCTTAACACACAGCCAACAGTGAAAGATCTGTGTGACTGCAGTGATGAGGGAGGAGACCGTCGTATGTAATACCAGGTTTCTGTAGCTCTAAATTATTCTTGAAATAACGATGACTTATTTTCCTTCCAGAAAAAGTAAGAACTGAAATTATTAGAAAGGATTGTACATATAAATACATGGGATTTCTGGTTTATGTATACAGCTAAACTGTAGGTGTTGACTTGGGGTCAATATATTAAAAAATATCTGGAAAGTGTAAGTTGATCCCAAATACTGGTTGAGGTATGAGGCTGTTCATATAAGCTGTATTAAGATGAGTTGTCAGTTTTGAACTTCATGGAGAACAAAATAATTTGTCCTCTTTATGTTAAATTAAAAATTTTAAACTTTCCATGCAAACAATTTTATATGTGGCTTGGGATACCTGTTCATGCAAAGACTGTTCCAAGCTCTAGACTGCTTTGTGATGATGCATTTCTTGTTGAATACGGCTAACAAAAGAAACTCTTGCTAATGCAAGTTTATTCACCTTTAGGATACTGATACTGCATCAACATTCTTCTGGCTTTGGTCGTCCTTTTTTTCCAGGGTTTTTTGTAAGGCTGATGTACATTTCTGAGATGGGTCTTTTCTACTTATTCCATTTTACTGAAGTTATTTTAAAGGAAGGGAGTTACTAGGAAATAAATCTGTGGGTTTTTTTAGAAATTAATTACTCATCAAGTCCTTGATCCGAAATTGGATAGAAGTAATTATTAGACATTTTCTCCCTATGTTTTAGGTGTATATATCTGAAATATCTCATCCTAAAGTCCGTGGTATGCTTGGCTCTTGTGTTCAGTTGATGGTGGTGACTGGCATACTGGGAGCCTATGTTGCAGGTATTGGGGTTAGGGTTCTAGGTTACAAAAAAGAATTAATGCATGTAATGAAAGAACTGCACTGAAGAATTGCAAGTAAATTTTAATTTGTTTGTACAATTAATTGATGTTTACGGTCCTCTTTCCTTCATTTTTGTTACCCAGGAATTACACTAAAATGGCGCTGGCTGGCAGTGTTGTGTTCTTTTCCATCCTGCATAATGCTGCTGTTCATGTCCTTCATGCCTGAAACACCGCGATTTTTGCTGAATCAGAACAAACACTCAGAAGCCATAGCTGCTTTGTGTTTTTTGCGGGGACCACATGTGGACCATGCCTGGGAATGCAGGCAGATTGAAGCTGGTGTTCAGGAGGAGGTGAGGAGAATCTGATTTACTCTTTAAAACCTCTCGTATGGAGATAACATCTGAAAGCATATAGTGCAATTAAAAGGGTTTTACCAAAGCTTAGTTAATAGCCCCTTCTACAAATGGTGGTCCAAACTGTTCCCTCATACAAATGAAACTCAAGAAACAAGTGAGATTCAAAGAATCTTTTTCTTCTACCTTTCAGCTGCAACTGCTGTCGCCGTTGACTGCCATCAGTGAACATGAGTAGCAGTCGGGCTCGTGATCTTGATAATTATATCATAGCTCTCTAGTTTTTTGCCTTATTTGGCAATTTAGTAGGATTGTTAACACCTCTTAACACTAATTTCTTATTGTTTGTGTTGTATGAATGCATTTTCTCTTGCGTCTCTAAAAGCATCATTTAGCCTCTTGTGAGATGTGTGCTTAAATAAGCAGGTCTAGCCATTGAAATTCAGTTTCTGCAAATTGTGGATTCATTCCTGTTAATTTTCTCTCCTAAGTACTGTTAATTTCTGTCTCTACAACCTGAGAAAGGGGGGAAAAATGTTTTTCTGCCATTCTCAGATATCTTTAAATGTAAACATTTTTACTGCTAAGGCACTTAGTTTTGCCAAAGGTGGGGGGTGGGAGTGGGAAACTTCCTGAGTTTGAACAGATTGAAATGTTCTGAGGAGGCTTTGTGTCGGTGATGTTTTTGTTCTTTGATTTAAAGATAACATTTTTCACCAATTCCATTGCTTAATTTTTTTAACAGGGACTGAGTCTCTCAGAATTTAAGAACCCCTCAATCTACAGGCCACTTCTTATTGGTGTGGCTCTAATGTTCTTCCAGCAAGTAACAGGCATTAATGCAGTTATGTTTTATGCAGAAACTATCTTTGAAGATGCAGGCTTCAAGGTAATTAGTGTGTGTTTCCAAACTGAAGAATGTATATAATAGTTTCAGCTTGATCAGTGCTATAATAAGTCTCAAACATGTAACAAACTGTCTTGATAATGATCTTGCTTGTGTCATAAATAACAGGATTTAGGTATTAGTGGGCTATTTTAGTTTCATTTCTAGATACCTTCTTGATTGTGTTACATGGGCATACCTGAATGTTCCAGAGTTTTTTTGGGGAAAGTATGTTGTATTTACTAGACTGAAACTTTGATACTGATAGAAATTCCTATTATAGTAATCTTCCTATAAAAATCTTTTTTATTGAAGTTGCAAATGCAGCGTTTCAGAGGAAGTGAAACTCTAGGGAGGAGCTGTGGCTTATTTTAAAGTTTATTAAGGGACTGGTACGTTGTCTCCCTGCGCTATTAATTTCTGTGGCGTAGTTTGTTTTCACATTCAAGAAACAAATGCATTTGTAACGCTTGACAAGTGATCCTCTTACCAGCCTGAAAGATCAGATTCTCCCTATCTTTTATTTCGTTTCAGGACAGCAGAATGGCTTCTGTTGTTGTGGGTTCTATACAAGTATGTTTCACTGCTGTGGCTGCACTTATCATAGATAAAACTGGACGAAAAGTGCTGCTTTACATATCTGGTAAAACATCATACTGAACTTTTTCAGCAAGAAAAATTACTATATAGGACCAAAAAGTATCTTAACTGTTGGGGGAATTAAGTATTGCAATTTATGCTTTTTTTTTTTTTTAGTGGTTTGCTTTATATTTATAATTTGATATAACTGTAGACTTAAACACGTAAGAGGAAATTATCATGTTATATATACATTGTAGTTAGCCGTATATAGTCTAAAGGTGTTCTATCTTTTTGTCTTCTTACTGGGCCAGTTTTTATTTTGAATTAGGTATGTCACTGAGACTGTTCTTACTACTGTGATTTTTCTGCTTAATAAGGTCCAATGTCATGATACATTCTCATGCCCAAGTTGTCAACAAATGGCTATTTCAAAGTAATTTCTCTGTGGCTGCTGCTGCTTTCATGGCATGCTGTGGTGGTGTTATACAAAGACTATAATTAAAAAATTTAACTCTACAAGTAAATGTGCTAAAGAAAACAAATTCTGTTTGCTACAGTTGTGCTGTACACTCAGTAGTAATGACTGCTGTCGAGACTATATTGTTTGGCTAGTGTTAGAATGCTTGCCTAGCATCTTTCACTTGTCAGGGCCAGTGTTTATTTCCAAGAACAGTATGTTTTAAGAAACACTTCTGTGAGGGCCAGCATATCTTATGTGTGGCTGACCAACACTTGGGTATTCTTCCAAGAGGCAGAATACCCAAGTGGCAACCAATAACAACTTCATTATTGCTTGCTTTTCAGGGATAATCATGGCTCTCAGTACAGCATTGTTTGGGCTTTACTTTAAAATCATCCTTCTAGATCGAAACAACTCATCAAATCCTGATGTGTGGTTCACTCTAAATTCAGCATCCCCGGGAACAGAAAGTAGCATCTCCTGGCTTGCAGTAGTGAGCCTAGGGCTCTTTGTCGCTGGTAAGTGGTACAGGCTTCTAAGTAGCTGTTACACAAAACTCAAACTTTCTGATGAATGTGACAATTTTGTTCCATTTTTCGACGTTATTGATGAATGGAAATAAGTTGTGTCTTTCACAGACCTTTTCAGTGTATAATGCAAAGTTGAGCTGAGTGTTCACGGCCCTGGTGAAAGAGCTAGCAACTTAGTTAAGCCAATTCCCTGGAAAATTAATTTATACCTCCTTGTACTAATACTAAATAGTAATTGCTCAAACTGTTCTACAGTTGTGGAAAAAAAGTGTCTTTGTTAGTGCCTGAGCCACACTAAATTCTGTGATGGTACAATGCAGCAGTAGTTAGAAACAAGGTCAGTTTCTAAGCTTACCTCTTCAGAGACTTTGTGGCAAGAAGTTCTGCTTGTTAAGAATATTCTTGTAATTAATTTCATTAGAAATGCACTAGTTTATCATGCTGCCCTAAGATAACTTATTCTCTTTCCTTCTTATAGAGGTACTGTTTTAGTGGAATCATCCAAGAATCTATAGAGGGAAAACTGCATCCCCCTTACTTGATTAATTTAGGCATCATTCAGCCTTTCCTTTAACATGTACTTAACTTGCATTTATTCTCTTCTGTTTCTAATTGCAGGTTTTGCCCTTGGCTGGGGTCCTGTTCCATGGCTGGTGATATCTGAAATCTTCCCACTTAAAGCTAAAGGCATATCGAGTGGTGCTTGTGTGTTAACAAACTGGATTATGGCCTTCTTGATAACCAAAGAATTTAATGATTTTATAGTAAGTATTGTAAACTTACAATCTGAAGTTTCTTATAACAGGGAAATGTATTAAAGATGCTCCTGAGGGAGCCTTGAGCCACAGTCTTCTGTGGCAATACAGAACTGTAGTTGTACAGTAGTGAGTGGTAATAATGTGTTTGGTTTTTTCCTCTCCCCTAGGGTTTCTTAACATCTTATGGCACATTCTGGCTCTTCTCTGCCTTCTGCTGCCTCAATGTAATTTTTACAGCCTTTTATATTCCTGAAACAAAAGGACAGACCCTGGAACAAATTGAGGCCTACTTCAGAAGATCTTAAGCCTGAGGCTTTTTATATTGATATGAAACATTCATATGAGTTCTGGTGCTATGGTTGAAACTAACTGCATCACATAGCAGACATCTTAGTTACTAAACTTGCTACCAAATGATTTTAATGAATTTTGTAAAATCTGAATTCTGTTTTTTAAAAAAGTATCTATGGGGGTCTGCATACAGTTCTGCATATTCCCTGTAGCAAATCTCCTCAGTGCAGGTTTGGACATATTCTTTTTCTTAGATTCCTGTGTTCTTTTCACCTGGTGCAGACTGACTGTAATGGCCAAGTAAGAATGTTAAATATATTGGCCAGTATCTTTTTTCTAAGATGTAAATTCAAGTCTAATTTTGTAAATAAATAAATTTCCCTGCTACACTTTACCTTTTCCTTATGTCACATGCTACAGTGAAGAAGTGATGTCACCTGCCTAATATTTATTTCAGATTGCTACTCTACCTTTGTGTTGTTGCTACTATTTCTAGGATGCCTGACCATGGAGTAAGTCTTGGTCCCCGCTGCAGACGAATGCTTGGCTTTCACCGGCGTTAGTGTTAAGTTTGCATTATTTTTCTTATTGCTGTCAAGTTGACTAGGAATGCATTTAAATCACAAGAAGGGTTGTAGCTCTTAGGAGAATGTACTTTAGAATTCAGAAATGAGCATTGCTTTTTCAAAAGGAATTACAAGGTCTTGGCGACAGCAAGAATATACTCTTAGCCAGAAAAGGAAAAAAACCCTCTCTTTTGCAGTGTTAATTTAAGGGTTAAAGTTCTCCAACTGGAGCAGGTCTCTGAATGGCTAAAAGACGCCTGGAAACACAAACCAATGCTGGATTATAATCCTTGTCCAAGACAGGTAACGCTTAAGACACAAACACCAATCTCACAGGTTACGATACAGCACTTCAATGAATGACATCTCTGAAACAAAATTTCTACGGAACTCAAATGGAAACAGTAATCCAGAGCTGTCGGTGATAGTGGACTACCTCCTGTCTTTTTAATGTCTTGACCGATGAACCAAATTTGTAAAAGCCATTAGTTTTGCATGTGCAAAAGAAAGAAGTGAGGTCAAATTTATGGTTTATTACATATGGAGGAATAAAACATCTGTTACTCCTTCCCAAAAGTGATAAATGGCACTTAAAACAGTTCCAGCTGTGATAGGACTGTTTCTATTTGGATGTCACATCTAAAACACAAACCATATACACTATCACATGATGTTAAAAACAATGGTAATACATTGGTATTTAAGACAAGTGGTAGATAAAGAATTTTTCATCACAAACTTAGCAACAGTCTTAACAATACGCAACTATTACAAAGCAGTCTGCTAACATTCAAAGACTTAGTTGAAACTGACGCTCCAGACTGATAACACTTTTTGCATAAACCTTTAGAGACGAAACATTTTTCCATTCAACCAGATAAATACTTAATAGAGCTATAAATAAATATGCAGAAAACAATCTCTGAAATTTTATCTTCAAATCATGTGCTAGTATCATGGTTTCCAACAGCAAGCAGGACTCAGTTGCGGGTCAGCAACCAAGTGAAGCAGGCAGGCAGTGGACAGGCCGGTGAAGTTGCTGTGCTCAACTTGTACAAGTTGGGTGCAGGTACCAATGCTTGCTGCATACTGTCATGTGAGCTTTTCCCTATGGTTAGTATTAGGCTCTCAGGGTATAATTTATTCCTCCACAAAATCAGGCTAAGCTTATCTGAGAAAAATACTGCTTTAACAGAATTAGAAAGCACTGTGCATATGAACCATGGCATCAAATTGGTAATGATAATAGTATGATACTTATTTTCATACACACACAAGCACAAAAATTATTCTGAAATAACCTACTGCTTGCAGATGGGACTTCTCCCCTCCCCCCTGTAAGATCACATTACTTTAGAATACTAGATATGCTTAGGACTTTTAATCCCTTAAAACTTGTGGTAGAATTTACAAATATATACACATACATGTATATACATACATATATGTATTAAAAACCAAGTCCAAACCCAAATGATATGTATCTCAAATGCAGACTAAGATGCTGCATCTGCAAGCACAAGTTCTAGATCTACACCTTCAGGAAAACACACATGAGCTTGAATCTGTGGCTTGGTCAAATATACATATAACGGCAGAAAGTAAATGTCAGGAGCAGCAAGCGAGCATGTGTAACTGGTTATGAAATAATGTTATATTTCATGTGGGTGCTCCCTGTCCCCTGCTCTAATAAGAACTGTTTAAATATTTATTCAGTGGACTAGCCTGGTACTACCAAAAAAAAAAATTAATTTGAATCTACCAATCAATTACAAATGTTTGTGCATGTACAAAGTCACATGAAGGCAGACAGCAAACCTCAGCAAGTTTGCCGATTACACCAAGCTGTGTGGTGCGGTCAAAGCGCTGGAGGGAAGGAATGCCATCCAGAGGGACCTGGACAGGCTGGAGAGGTAGGCCCAGGCAAACCTCATAAAGCCAAGTGCAAGGTCCTGCACTTGGGCCTTGTCAATCCCAGGCACAAATACAAGTCAGGCAGAGAAGGGCTGGAGAGCAGCCCTGAGGAGAAGGACCTGGAAGGTTTAATGAGTAGATGAGTGCACATGCTGGAAAAGCAGAAGGGAAACAACCTGTCTCTAAGGCTGGAGTGAACATCCATCCCAGGAGCCTTCCAACAAGCCTTGTCATCTGACATGGGTCTGAAGGAGGAGAGGTTGCACAGATGTATAAAAACCTTGTCCTTTAGAAATGACGCACAAGAACTGCATCACTGCTACCAGCTGGCTTTTGTTTTGATTTTAATAAGCAGTCTGAATGGTATTGATCTAAGACAGTATTTTAAAAGAAACAATGGCTAGAAGCTAGTTCAGAGGATGCCAACTCATGACACTAAGAGGCATGTAATGCACGGCAGTCTGATGAGACTGTTGAAAGCCCACAAACACCACATCCTTGTACAGTGGATATTTGTCCAGCTGTGTCAGCAATTTTATATTATTGTGGGATATTCTGTCTTTTGAAACAATAAATGTGATAAAGACCTTCATAGAAATTGGTTCTTGTGGCTTATGCCAAATAAAATTGGAACATTATTACCATGTTCTCTGCCTCCTACCTATACTCTAGGCTGCTCTCATACAGTGTACGTAGTAAACTACATACACATGAGCCTGAAGCCTCAGCTACCACCTCCAGGTGCCTTATAAACCAAACTTATTTGGTCTAGATCTCTCCCAACTTCTTTTGTTAGGTCTAACATTAACCCTACATCCCTGCAAGGCACGCTGATTAATTACAGAAGCAAAAACTCAAGCAGCAGCAGCCTTGTTAAGGCACTTACTGCATACATTAGGAATGAAGACAGGTAATTTTTTGCCAGGGTTCAGATGCTTCCAGTCCTGTAGTAATGGTCTATTAGGTCTGGTAGTTCCCATTGTGACCTACATAACAGCTTGCACCTGACCCCTTAAAGTCAAGCTGTAGCATAAAATTCAGCTGGGAGGTGCAGGGGAGGCAGTTGCTGGGCTTCCCTCCTCAAACTATACCAACATCCTATTGCAGATAAGTACCATGGAGATAATCTGACCTGTTTTTGTCTAGCTCAAGCAATCAAAATTAATCTGGACTCCTTACAGTCTTTTTGCTGTTTGTTAGTATTTGCTAGATGTCATCAATGCTGTAATTACAGGTAGCCCTTCAAAAATTCACACACACACACACACACTCTCTCTCTCTTACTTTATGGTAATATTCTATAGCCACTACTATGGTTCTGGTTAAGGAAAGTACCTCTTGCTTTTTGGCCCCCCCTTTCTATAATCAAGTCTCGATTATGATGCAAATGTCACATCCACGTGCACCCTGACCACCATCATAGCCAGTGGTCAAGCTTTCTGTCAAGCTTTCTGTCAAGCTTTCCTCATTCTTCTTGATCTCCCTAGTGCTCCATCTCCAAGGCTTGTCTTTCAGGATACCAAAATATGTGTTTGTTCAGGTTCTTCCAAACAAGTTTTAAAATCTCCATATACTGCTTCAACTGCTATCAAATGAGGGTTTAGTCATGTCAAATCATGCTAGAATAGCACAAGTGAACACCTGAAATGTATTTAAAATCTGATATCCTAACAGTGCAAAGCAAAGTTTCCAGTTAAAATTGTATTTTAACTAAAGCTCCACTTTTGCAATACACTGGTACAGTCTTCAAGAACACCCACATAACCAAAATGAAATACTACATTGAGAAATCTGTTTATGGAAAACGGTGGTGCTTTTGCTTTCTAAAAATATCTAAGTGCAAGCAGTGCTCCCTAAAGTGCATTCACTAAGTCCACAGAAGTTTTTACAACTTCCAGGAGAATAAGCACCACATGATACTTTCAGATTGATTTTTTTAAATCTTAGCTGCACAGATAAGTAGGACAGGGCAAATTAACACAATCTCTAGAAGTATACATTCTCAAAAATTATTACAAGCTCTTGCAAAGACTTTGAGCTGGCACTTTCTTTTAAATGCTTATCAAGGTTCATTGCCACACATCTATGGGTGCAATAATACTGAAACAATAGTAGCCACTGGTTAGTACTGCTTCTGCTCCTAGACTAATTACTGCTGAAAGCATTGCTTCTTTTGTTGATCAGCCACTCCAGTTGAAAGACACGATTCTTTCAGGTAAGGCCTTGCATCCTTTCTTAGGTGTATTATATACAAGAAATTGGGCAAAAAATATGTTGCAAAACCAGTTTTACATTCAGACAGACCCAAGCAAAAGGCACACATCTCCAGATGATCATGCTTGGACAGAAAGTGAAATCATGACACATGAATGATATTATGAAATAAAATCAAGGATACGGAAATATTTCTACATATAGAACAAGAAATACTTCCTAATAAAGCTAAAATCATCAAAGGCTGGAAGCATCACACTTTCATGAAACAAAACAAACAAAGAAAAAACCCCAAACAGAACAAAACCCTTTCAAAATACTGTTTAACATTGATTTTTGGCATACAGGAAAGGATTATTAAAAATAATTTAGCTTTAAACATGAAACCCTGCCTTTAACATAGAAAAAAAAAATCTAAGATGACTATTTCATCATAGAAAACTAGCTTCTTAGCAGTGAAATTTCTATCTAGCTCCAGTTAGAGAAATATGATCATCTGGAATGACTTACACTCTTGATGCAAGAGCAGCCAATAGCTAATGCTGATGCCTGCATAGGAATCTTTGCGTAGTCAGAAAGAAAAGCAGTGGGTGGCTCTTCTGCCTGTACTGGGAAAATCTTTAGGTACACTAGAGTAACAGTTTTCCAGTAGATGGAGAAATACAGCCGTTGTTTTTTTTTTTTCCCTTCCAATTCTTAATGAATATTTTGAAAGTTTCCCTTCCAATTCTTAATGAATATTTTGAAAGTTTCTATAAAAAGTCTCTTTGCTTAAGGATTCTTACTGCCAAAACAGTTTCCAAGTTTCTCTAAAAAAAGTGCATGGACAGGCCAGAGCAAAGAAAGCAGCCTCTTCATATCTTACCTGGCTGTTATAGAACATCCTTGATTCTTCAGTGAACATACCGCAGCTGCATCATTTCAAGGAGAGACTGCAATGTTTGGAAAGACCTTGCCTGTAAGCCTTGTTGTTTTGTTTTGTTTGGTTTTTTTAAATACTGAAATACCAAAAGGAGTGACTGATGTTATGGAATAACATATGTTATGTTAGGAATTTTACCTCTCCATGTCTCACATGACATGACATACACTGTTGTAAAACAACTCACTATAATAACAGTAGTTAACTTAGCTGAATGTCATTCAGGTACTTCAAATTATAAGAAGCTCAGAACAAGTAATACTTTTTATTTACTTCAGTTTCAGCCATAATCTCTCATTGATTACCTACTTTTAGAATGCCACAAGAAGTAATGGTTCATTAACTGAGAAAAGAAAACATATCTATGTCAAAGATAGAAGCATCATCAAACCAGGCTGAGTTAGCCAGAACAACACAGGTTCTATAAAGAGTAATCACCAATACTTCCAGCCACATTTTACCACTAGAAGCAGTGTTTGTGACATTCCCATAGAGCTCACAGAGTTATAAGAAAATGTGAAGTAAGGAAGAAAGGTTTTAAGACTATCTTCACTTCAAGTCAATGATGTCTTCATCATATAAAGAAATCAGCTGAAATGGATAGCTAGATGGTGAGCTCTCCTCCCTGTTTGCTAAAGTATTGGGATCTGAACTAGTGGAAAGATGATGTCCTTCAGAATAGCTTTCAAATGAGTTCGAGATTATCCTGCAAATAGGAAAACAGAAGTTACTAAAAAAATTATACAGATCAGAGCAAGTAGGATCAATGGCTATTTCTACATTCAATCAAGTTATCCTAAAGGCAGAGAACACCATTAAAACTGAGTTTCTCTCCATTTTACTCTGCTGAAAATTATCGAAAGGCAATGTTAATGAAGCCCCCCACCCAAATAATTTCCAGATAGTGAAATAAATCAAATATAGTTTTACATTGCAGCAGATTTTTTTGTTTGTATTGTTAATCTCAGTCTGCTGTATCTTGGCTGAATTCTGCCATTACTCCACACAAACTCAGATTGTGAAATCAGTGAAAACAAGAGAATGGCAGTGGGATCAGGTAAGCAGCGCCTAACAGACAAATGCTGTGGTGTTTCTTTACAAAAATTTATTCTGGAAATAGCAACACATGAGCATACGAAGAAAACAGCAAGCAAACCTGCACAGTGCAGATCTATTTGTCTGAATCCTAATGACAGGCTCAACTGCAGCAGGTCCCCACAAAATCCCATATAGTCTTGCTTTGCTCATTAACATGTCTTTAGCTAAAAGTATAGTTGCTTCAGTACTTACAGTATTCAGATACTATAACACACACAATAGCATGAAATTCACACTGGCATACAAAGGTCTCAGTCAGCCTCAGGCCAACCGAGATACGCATGAACAGGTTGAAAACCAATCAATTCTGAAAACATTTACAGCTTAACTTAGCTTCTTTTCTAAAGCCAGAATATTTACCTGTCACTACTAGTTGATCTTACTGCTCCCTGCTTGGGGTCTGACTGTCTTCGAGGAGCCTTTTTTTGCTTCTGTGCACTTTCTGTCTTGGGTATAGGCTCATCCAAGAGACCTCAATAAAGGAATAGAAGACTTACTACTCTCAAGCAAAAATAAAGCGTTCATGAAAATGTTAAGGTATCTGTCGCTGGTTTCCATTAACTAGTTTCTACCTGGGTTAGCATATGTCATCCTTATATGTGATGAGACTGGCTAGACTATTTGCAAATAATATTTTCTCACAGTTTCATTTGTTTGTTTATACTACTTATTTATGAATACTGGTTGCATGTTACAAATCTGACTGTGATGGTCCAAAGATTAGACATTATATACTCGGCAATTGATATATACACTGAAGAATTAGGAGAGTTTACCCAGCAATTCTTTACGTGTTCTGCTGGCAATTTCTTTAATTTCCATACGAGATAAGGATAGTGAGTGAGTAACTGGAAGAGTGGCAATGCCAGTGGATGTTGTTGTAGTGATGACCTTGGGAGCCAAAGGTGACTTCAGAGGCCGTTCAATGCTTCGCCCAACCAGATTACTGAGAGGAATTTTGTACAGGTTCTTGCATGGAACTTCACCTGAAACACAGAAGGAAAAAAAGAACAGAATAATTTCTTAATACTTCCAAATGAAAAGTTATACAGAAAAGTTACGTTCATTCTGCTGTGTGCTTTTTAACCCAAGTAACAAAGATCATCTTAGCCCCGCAGATCTTTCAATATAAATAGACTAGAAGGAGGAAGAAATGCAATCACATTGTGCAGATCTGCAATTTGACTAGGAAAGAAAAAGAAGATTGTCTCTTGGCGATGTAATGAATCAGCAGTGGAACCAGGAAGTAAATTTACATGTCCTGAGGCTGGTATTCTGGCTAGAACACTGTGGCTCTGCACTCTGTGCAATATTCCCCACAAATATTAATATGTCCCAAGTATACTGGAGCCCGGATCTCAAGTGTGTTTTCCTAATTTGCAGGAAAGAACTCTAACAGCTTACCATCAAATAGCCCTGTCTTTTAAAAATTGAAATTGTGATTCCTTTCTCCTTTCCCCTTCTGCCCACAGTGCAGCAGCAGATTTAAATGAGGAAGACATAGATGCATGCTGCATTTTGTAGTTGAAGTTCCCTCATTTCTCCATTATTGTTCCCCTATAGACTGACTGTTCACAGATCATGTTACACCAAATTGACTGCAAACTCTTTCAAGGCTAGAACTACTTCTTACTTTTGGTTCGCAAAAGAGTTTTAACTATCCAGTCGCAGTTTAGCTTTTCTTAAATTAAAGGAACGGTGTATGTGAAATGTTATGTTTTCCCACAATTTTATACCTTGCTTTACATATAGCCACGGATTCATCAAGCTACTGAAGCTTAATTCGTCCCCTCCTACAGAAACGTTTTTTTCAAAACAGTGCTACCATGCAATCAGAAGAGATACTACAGGACAAAAACTCAGGTGCTTCATGTCTGTGGATAAATAGAAAATCTCCATCTTCCAGAATCTCAGCTAGGAACTCAAAATCTTTTACCCAATCAATTTAATCTTAATAAATATCAGCTACACTGAGATGTGACAGCTGCTGGAATCACAGATCATTATTCGATCTGCCTGGGAACCGTGTTACCTTCTAGAGAAGAAAGAGGACATTCTGGCATTTCAGAAGCTGTTGGTGTTTGAGGAGAACTTCTTGAACTCATTTCTTTAGCACTGCTGTCAGATGATCCACTTACTGCAGCAGTAGCTTTAAAATAAATATCTGACTGAAACGACAAATAACTTATCATTAGTACAGGGAGACTTTCTTAACCATTTTCTGAGTAAGAGCTCAAATGTTTGTCCACTACATTCTATTAGCAGCAATACAGCAGTAGTGACAAGTCAACCAGGGCTGGTCATGGAAAGGTTATCCCACTGTAAGTGGAGAGGACATCTGTGATATAGAGGATAGCATTTGCCCCATAAACAGCCATATATCTTGAATCTACATTACTGTGAGCAATAAAGGACAGAGAGATTGATTCTGATTCTCTACATACTTGATATAAACTAAGAGCACACAGACGAATAGTTACCACAGATCAAATAGCACACATTTCAGTTTTGATTTGCTTGGGTTTTGGCTACAGCAACTTTTTATGTGAATTAGATCCCAACATATCACAGAAATAGTCAAATGAAATTTTTCCATGTCTTACCCTTGATGCTACAAGTTGAAGCTCAGGCACAACTGCTGTGTGGACTAAGTTCCCATTCACCACTAATCGGATCTCAATGGAATCAGTAGTGAAGGCAAGGATATAAGGAAAAGCACAGACTGCAATGAAACAAAAATTATTTGGCAAGGAAAAATGGTTAATATAAATGTTTCCTGAATGGTCCGTGAAAACTGCTCTTGAGTATGTGACCCCTTCTGACATGTCCATTTCCTATGAAAAGGGTTGTCTAACATACTGATGGACACTGAGCTACATCAAGTCTGAAGAAAACTTCACTCTCCACGCCTGGCAGACCGTAGACTGAATGGAAAATAAAAAACCAGGAAAAAAAAGAAAAGAAAAAAAGTTCAAAGGAAGAACTTGGCACCAAGTCTCCACTTTTTTGCAGAAACTTAGCTGAAGTTGCATCATGAATGTAACATGCTTATTCCTAGCATACATACTGTAATTCCACTAACAGTCAAGTGCAAGCCTAAATGTAATGAAAAGAACAGCCATCTAGTAAAAAGAGGTATTTTCTTACCAACAGCATAAGGAACTTGATTCCAGCTGAACTGGAAGTCACAAGCTGATGGCTGGATCAGTGGACAACCTCCATTGAAAGGATATACCTTTCTGTATTGGCAAACATCTATAACAAAAAAGAAGCATCCATCATCTTACACTGCAAGTGACAAAAGCCAACTTTATAGGCAGATTTTGAAGAAGTGCTGGCATTATCTACACAAATGTTTGATTATGTATAAGACCCTCTACGTCTAAACAGATAAGGGAAATGTGCTTCCTCTGTGAACACAGCATTTGAAAACTGAAAAGAAAAGACCTACGTTTTAATAAGTTGTCACATTTCACAAAGTATTACTCTGTTTCAACAGTTATCAGTTCCTTACCTTGTGTATGGCTAGAGGAATAGCTAAGAAAAATTCAGAAAGCAGTGTCAGCAGAACTGCACCTCTCTGTCAGTAAGAACTGTCCTTCAGCAGCCACGTGCCAGCACAGTTCATGTTCTTTGAAGACTATTACAGGATATCACAGACACCAATGAAAAAAGAATTACATATGCATATTGAGGTATTACCATTTTCGGTCTTCCCTAAATACTTACAGTTATAACACAACAGTAGCCCAGCTTCACCATCTTCATATACATCAATAGCTGCAACAAAATTAACCTGCAACAATAATGGGAAAGCATAATGAACAGGCAGAGGATACTGAGGTTATTCCGACTAGGTTTTGACTAACAAGCAATGCAATCGGTTGGGAGAGTGCATAACTACAAATAAAACCCAAAAAAATAGAGAGGAGGAAAAAAAAGGCTAAGTAATTTTTCAAATGTGGTTTCTTCTGTGATTAATCTTCAGGATGCTTTCAGAATGGAAATGAACTACTTTTGTATTCAATTCTGTACAGTGAATATTCAATACCACACACGGAGTATAAAGTAATAAAAACTTACGTAACTTATTTGGCAATTTAAGTTTTGGGAAACGGGGTGATTCAGGACAGCTGTGAATCAACACGATATGCTAAAAATAACAATTCTTTTCAAAAAGTGAAATCCAAAAAGCTCCATTGCACATCATGACTAGCAGAAAGATCAGATGTGGTTGATAGGGATGTACTTAAAGATTACTGAATAGGCTGAATTTAGAAACTGAGGACCAATGCTGGATAAACCACAGCATTTTTTACACAGCAGAAGCTACATAAATTCTCATATTTCAATTCCGTATTTGTCTTTTACGGTTAGATTAAAAAAAACCAAACCAGCCACAAAAAGTAGGATATCTGTTCCTGAAAGAAGACATTATTGAGATATTTAAGATTACATTAGACAAACACTTCCCAGACCTCAACATATACTACTTAGACAGGGAGAGGGCTTGGAGACCAATTCGACAAGCAGCGGTTCTTTGACTTTCATTTATACAATAAGCTTGAGATATTCACCTCTTGAGTTAAGATTACTGTATAGGTCAAGAACTGTTAGAAAGACTTCTAAGTTTATATATCTATACCAAACACATTTTGACCCATCCTTCGTAGTGGCAGAAAGCCATTTCTGTTCTGTTACCCATGGAAATAATTTGGTAACCCATTTCAACATCACAAAAATCACTGGCTCAGCTCATATTTTCTTGGGAGATTCCTGGGGAGAAAAGGAACAGTGGTGGTAGTGATGATGGTATACTTTCCATCCCTATTCTTTACTTATAGTTCCTCCCCGTATAGATTAAGACAGATTTCCAGTTTACACGGTATCTCTCATGCTATGAGTACCTCTTCATCATCAGATCTGAATAAAAATGTAGATGATTTAAAAAGAAAATAACCTATCATCAAGAACCATCAAATGAAAAGAGTAGTCCCTTATGAGGAAAAGAGAGTCAGTTAAAAATTACAACAAAAAAAGATTAACTGTGCAAAATTTTCCTTCTTTTTTTTTGTCTAAAGCTATATATCCATATTTAGAGACAATTAAAAAAATCTGATTTTCAAAGATGCTGAAGATCATTATCTTCCCAGCAGCTGGACATATTAGACCTCTTTTTCGAAAATCAGGACATTTGCCTAAATCCCAACACTATGTCCTGGTTAGAAAGATTCAGTTAATTTACTAGTTCACTGAGCAGCAGTTTCTTGAATAGAACTAAAAGCTACGTGTAAATATTTTAGCCTTAGTACATGCAAATAGGCAAATCTGAATTGGATACTGGTGGCCAACAACTGAAGTTATGTTGCTGCAATCTATCAAACAATAAAACACTGAGACCATAAAAAAAAAAAAAAAAAGCGAACTATAGACTATGAAAGGAGAGAAGTAATTTTTGCTGACAGCGATATTCCAGAGCCTTAAACAACAGGCTCTTTCATAGAGTGTCATATCTTATAACTACCTCTCTTGGGAGCGATTACCACCACCTATCCCAAAAGGAGCAAATATCTTGAGTGCCCTAGAGCAGAGGTCATAGAAGTGAAGAGACATGAGGATCTCCATAAATCATGCTCCCAGGAGTTCAGCATGGGATACACTTAGTCTGCAAGAAATTATGTTCAGTGTAGTTCTGCAAGAAAATAGTTTCAATGATGAAAACTTACCTTGTTTGTTTCAACATGATGCAATCTATAGGACTCCCCAGTACTTTCATTAACTAAATCAAATTGATGTCGATACGCCACACAGATCATATTGTCACTGTCACCAGTAGGTCCATCCACCAGCGTCATAACCACTGGAGGGTCAGAAAGGCATATTTCCTATAATGTAAATAGAATTATTCTCTTTTTCAAGCTCCTACTGTGGTTGCTGCAGGTACTCCATGAATTTAAAGGGATGTGCTCTAAGCATAGAAACATGATAAAGAACAAGCAGAAACTTAATTTAAAAAATCTGAAAGGTTTCTATGGCATATATATATGAGGGAACCCCATCATGTGGCTTCTCACTTCTATTTGTCTGGAGGTTCAGGAAGATAAAAATGCATGCTCTTTGTCTTTCCCACCCCCCCTGCTGAGTGCTGCCCAGTCTGTTAGAGTAACTAGTGGTTAGATTACACATACCCGGATGTACTGGAACTCCTCTACTGGAGATTCAGATGACGACAGCACAGAGCTGCTGGTTAAGCTGTTGCACGGGTTATATTTCTTTGTGACGAGAAGTAGTTTGTTCCGAATAGCCACAACAATCCTCAGTTCACTGCCATGGTGAGTATTAATGGCATACAAGTGGCAGCCTGAGGAAATAAGGCTCTAAATTTTAAACGTTTAGTGTAGGGTCTACTTTTTTTGTTCTGTATTTGTATAATTAGTACAACGGGGCTCTGATGCGTGACTTAGCAACACAGAATTACAAACATCCCAACAGGATAGAGAAAGACAAAAGGCTGTGAGTGTCTTGAAATCTACTTTTCCCATTATTCCTTCTGCAAGTAAAGACTAAAATCAGAGGGTTTCACTAGTCTGCAGGTTTCAGCTTTCCAAAGCAGCTTGCTTCTGAAGACCAGAAAATGTTTATGTCTACTAAAATAATCAGCAACATCCAAATTAATCTAAGCACTACTATTTAATGGAGATTTGCCAGTGTTCCTCCACCTTAAAATGCCCTTTATTTCATCACACACCCCTGCATAATTCTTCTCATACCCCTCAATCCTGAAAGCAACATTATCTTTTTTTTCTCTAGAGCTTTTCATCAGCAGCAATTGCCAAGTAACATGGTATTCACAAAGTTCTAAAGCATCACGCTGGACTATACCAGACATATTTTCAAATATAAGCTTAACAAAGTTTGAATTGACTGTCCGGAGAAAAAAAACAAAGGTGAACACCTACAACTGCCTCAAGGGAGCTAATAAGCCCCTGGCAACTACAAGCATCATACTACAGTGGATACATAAGATAATAAAATCACCTTTTGTTCTCTCCAGTTTGTTTTCTCTGCAGTCATATTTGCTCCTTATCATTTGCTTCGTTTCTATATCTTTTTGGACAGCACTGAGTCTGAAGACAAGGAGACGAGAATCTTTCCCTGAAGAATGAAGAGAGACAGGGAACAAAAAGTTAAAAGAAAAGATGGTGGTAGTTTGAAAATAATACTTCAAAAGAGAAGCAGCACCTAACAGAGTAAAGATAAACAAAGCATACTGCTTCTCTGGGGATGAGCCGCAACATCATACAAGACTGCTTTTGAACTCTCTAGGCTTTACAGCTCTTGTAACCAATGCCTTCAGTTCAGTAACTGAGTTTCCTATCAGGTGGTGCTACAGCAAAGAATAATATAAGAGCTTCAAAACAGTGAAATATATGCTATTCCGCAGATATACAAAATTTTGCAAGACAATGAAAATATAACCAATATAAACTACACGACAAGAGTAAAAACCTTAACTTTAAAAGCTGGAACCATCCAGCCGAGCAGCTGACAACTGGATCCTTAACAGACTTTGAAACCCTTGATCCTGCTCTTGGTTTGTATATGTTCACTTTGTGAAATTCAATCACAGACTGTTGGATAAAAAGTACCTCATTGAAAAAGTGCACATTTTATGAACATTTAATGCTTCCAAATGAGGCGAAAAAGGAAACATTGTGAGTCCAAACAACCAGAATGTGGCGACAGTTAACTGAATAAATGTAATAAAACACATTTGGTAAAACAGTGACAGTGTAAGTAATTTCCCCCACATTTTTGCACAACCGAATAAACATGTAATTCAGCCAAGGAGATTTCCAAAGAGTGTTGAGTTCCTACAGTAGCTGAAGAAAGACCATATGACCAGTTTCAGGCTTGCCTTGAAGGAAGCATGAATGAGCATTTACAGATTTTCCTCCACCAGCCTTTTATAAAAGAACAGCAGTTGCTGCATGTGCTCCCTTATTCTAATTGAGGTATCCAATACACTTGCCACTGACAAACATGATTACGTCATACTACCCAGCACCAGCCACATTCATATGAGAATCAAACAACAGGGACCTCTCCTACCTTTGTCTGTTCGGGCAATCAAAAGATCCAAAGCTTCCAACACATGCATCTGCTTTATTTGGAGAGTTTTATCAAATACTTGCACTGATGGTTGACCATCTAAAAAAGAAACATGCATAATTATTCAAATTCCTGCTAAAATTTGCAAATCATTGGTTTTGGTCTATTTCTTTCTTGTAATAAGCACCTCATTTTTTTCTTATGAAAATGAAAACACCTTCATAAAGCTGCTACACATACCACAACATCATAGCCAATACTTCCTCACGTGAGAATTTTATCATTGCCACGGATCAGATTATGCAACGGAAGCCTAAAAGGGACGTTCCTTTGGAAACTTTGAGAATTTTCACTGAGAACTAACTTCATTCCCTTGGTCCCGCTGGCCTTATGTAGTGCACAGAAGATAAGGGTTCAAACTAACAATATGACTGAAGAAGCAGGCTTTCATTGTCACATAAGCCTTTGGCTTCATGCTCACTATCATCAGTGGCTAAAAATCAGGACAGGCCATTTAAATACTTCTTGATCTTGGATTTGACTTTTTAAGTCTTTTCAGATGGTCAAAATATTCTGCATTAATCTTGGCTCTCCAACATAGCTTGATTCTGGTGCAAAGACAATTTTTGCAACTAGGTTACATAAATGTAATAAATTCAAATGAATTGGTAACTATCCCTGTCAATGAAGACCTATCAACACCTGGACAGAACTTACGCACATACATTTTCAAGAAAATGGTCAGATACATAAAGATTGACACAAAAACACTAGATCATTTACTAACCATCTATTAACAAGATGCCAGCATCTGTAGAAACCAGCAAGGACTGGCCCCAAGAATCTGCACAGACAACCTCATGAGGAAAATTACTGCAGAAAGATTGAGATTCCCAAGGCTATGAAGTAACATAAGGGATACATATTAAATACACTAAGAAATACAGATCATACAGACACAGAATGTGATGGACAATGGCAAGTAATAACATGTAAATGCTTTTGGCAGGATGTATTTCCAAACAATATATTTTTTGAATTTGAAATATCAAAATTTTGTTCATTTTCTTGTAGAGGAAATACTTCCCATATTAATTGGGTTTGGAGATAGTAAGTGTAAAATACATCCCTGAAACACTGGAATTAGAACACATGCTGATACTTGGTGCAACCCTGGAAATACTCAATATGTATTTTATCTAGAAAAACACACTATAGATGTATGTACAGATGTATAAAATGTATGTACAACCATGCATATACAATTTGCTTACATTTTATGGCTCAGTTTGTGACATTTAGTCACTAGCACATGATACAGTACTAACTGCCTTTCTTCCAAATTGTCCTTTCATCATGTGTTCTCTGTACCTACCTTGCGAAGTCTGCCCCTCCTCCCCCAATTTAAATATTAGCTGAAGTATCTGAAATTCTAGAAGCACTTCTTAAGCTTCTGTATATAAGACGCATGCAGCAGAGTGTGGTTTGCATCTTTCACTCCCTAATGCCCTTGAACAAAATCTGGTACTACAGGAAACAAACACACAACTGAATTTTATTTTACACTTGATGCAGAAGTTAAAATAAAAGATAACTGCATATGGAAAATGACATTTTCATCAAATATTCTCAGGAAAATGACATTTTCATCAAATATTCTCAGATATAAAAATATCCTCACTTGCTTTAACTTGAGAAGTGCTTCTGTCCCCAGGATCATCCTTTATTAATTTGATATTGGCTGCAGAATCACTTTGACAATACACATTTCATCTTTAATGCTACAACATCTAATTACAAAAGTAAATAAACAGTATGCAGCCCTGATACACAATGCCATACTCGATAACATTTAATTTTTTTATAACTCTCCTCAGACAGGTTCACTCACCTCCTTTTTACAAAAGCTTGCGCTTGCCAAGTTAGCTGTGGCATCCCCTTTCACAGTAGTTTTCAATTATATAAAAATATCCTCACTTGCTTTAACTTGAGAAGTGCTTCTGTCCCCAGGATCATCCTTTATTAATTTGATATTGGCTGCAGAATCACTTTGACAATACACATTTCATCTTTAATGCTACAACATCTAATTACAAAAGTAAATAAACAGTATGCAGCCCTGATACACAATGCCATACTCGATAACATTTAATTTTTTTATAACTCTCCTCAGACAGGTTCACTCACCTCCTTTTTACAAAAGCTTGCGCTTGCCAAGTTAGCTGTGGCATCCCCTTTCACAGTAGTTTTCAATTTCAATGCCTAACACAAACAGATGTTTTATTTAAATTGAGTTTTTGTCAGCAATACCCAAGGTAAAGGCTATAAAGAAAGGACCATTTAGGACTACAAAATAACTCCAGTTTGGAATTCCTATTACATTTTAAGTAATAAGGAAAGAAGCAGAATTCTGTATATCCTGAACAAAACATATGCCAAGGAAACATAATCACAGTACCACTAACTCTTCAACTAGAAGTAGCCAGAAGTGAGCTAACTCTGAAAGGGCTAAACTCTCTAGATAAATACTGTATAAATGTAGTTTGAGCGAGATACATTGTGTATCTGTTTAAGGTATCCTATATACCTTCATTGCTAACCTTTACAGTGGCGTTCCTATAAAGTGATGACACATGCATTCTTTAATGCAAAGTTTAGAAACTACCTAAACCAATTTTACTGCCCTAAAGTTTGCCTACCGTTGCGCAGGGTCTCTGTGAAATGGCAGTAATCAGCTGATGAACCATTTGCACATTTGCATTAAGCATGGCCATCAGCTTACAGAGACACATTAAATACTTCATTGCATTAACATCTTAATTTCATCCCACCAGTCAGTAGAGATCACCTTGACAATAAATAAGATTTAAACATATTGCTGAGCCAGTCATCAGTTTTCTTTACCGTCTAAAATCTCAACTGACTATAACTGAGGGACAGATACATTCATAGAGTTTGGCAAGAATGACTACAAGCTACTTGGAAGGCATGTTGAAATGTGTTCAAACCTAGAGTTTGTAACTTAGAGGAAAGTTTTTTTTAGGGAAGGGAAAGATTCAAATGTGAAAATAACCTTCAAGAAAAACACAAACCAGATATCTATGAATCTTTAACCCACATATTAGAATACCCTTCAATGAAGGCCATGCCAGGGATGGAAGTCTTGTTTAAGAAATGGGTCCCAACTAGATTTGTTAACCTGAGTGTCTCATCAGTGTTTAACTTAAGGGACGGCAGGGGGGATCAAGCCTGTAAGTTCCTATACTTTCAATAACCATGTTTTTCTTTAACTTCTGTAAAGTAGTTAGTAAACTCGGGGAATAAATCACTAGTTACTTCTGTCTGAATATGACAAACACAGTCACTTTTCCTTTTTTACACATGCATAGAGTGACTAGTTATTTCAAGGGTGGCTGGCAAAGGGGTGGGCAAAGCACCGAGAAGCAGACTTGGCCGCCCTGCCAATGCCAATGCAAGCTTTAACATCCCCGAGATTCTTTTGCACCAGCTCTCTACCACCTGGTCCATTCTCTATCTTTAACTGGATCTGGAACTTCTCAGATTCTTCCACTCTTAAGCTTACTCAGATAAAGAAATGGAGGGGAAGGGAGGAGGCTTACATTTTGTTGGTTGGGTTTTTGTTTGGTTGGTTGGTTTGTTTCATTTTTTTTCTGTTTTGATTTCCTGCTCTGTTAACTCCTGCTGAGTTAAATCAGCTCAGAAAAGAGGTATTCTTAAGATAAGCAGCAGAACCATGTCACCAGTCCAGGATCAAGAAGGGACAAGAGGGAAGGGACAGGGGAACTGATGACCACAGACACAGCCTTTTTTTCTGCTGCAATACCATACTAATTCATCACTGAATCAAAATGTCAATAAGCCCAGAAATTTAGCAGAAAGACTGTCAAACCTTCTTCCTGGCTACAGCAAGGTAAAAAATTTCTAAAAAATTCAATCTTAAGAAAACATGTAGAGGAAATCCATGAAAGATTACGTTTCTCCAAAGCACAGAAAAGGAAAGAGCACTCTTCTGCTTGGAGGCAGAAAGCATCTACTGCACGAAGTAGGGAAAGACTTTTAAGGTTTGATCCTAAGGTGTGATTTTTCCAACCTTCCTTTAGTTCATGTATTTTATAAGAACATGTAATTGTGTTGTGTACCTCAGGTGTTACAGATAAATACTTTTATTCAGATTTGACCTTAACGTAAACTAATAAAAATACAAAACTATTTCTGACCACAGAAGGCATTATGTCCTGACATAACTCTGCAAGCTAATCAAATTCTAACAAAAGGGGTGACACAGTCTTTGTAAAGGTAGGTGCATACCTCCTAAACTGATCCTACCTGACCAAGTCGGACAAACTCTGCTTGCCGAGCTTCCTCTTTTTTCCGTGTTGATTTTGGTGACTCTGGTAACACATCACTGAAGGACCTTCTGTTGAGCACGTTCTAAAACAGAAACCGTTTCTTTTTTAAACTCAACCAAAAGTTTTCACAGTCTTTTAATCTGAGTTAACTTAGTGTGATATCATTTAAATTTTCTGTCTTTTTGGGGGTATTTTCCTGTAGTGATGAATCTAACTGTATAGCATCTCAGAGAATAGAAATTGCAACTCCTCCAGTCCTTCAGTGATTTACTTTCCAACTTGTCATAGCTTATCACTGTCATGTTATATACAATTACGACAAAGACCTCAGACCTTGCGGTCGGCGAGGCGGCGGCAGCACCGGCAGCACCAGCGACGAGAACTGAGGTGAGCTGGAGGCGAGGGCCGGACGGCGCCGCACAGACGGGTTCCGAGCTCAGAGACACCCCCGCCATCACAGCCCGAGCCCCAGTCTGAACCAGGAAGTCCGCGGCAGCCAATCAGGCGCGGAGGGGGCGCGGCCAGGAGCTGCGCGGAGATTAACGGCGGTCAGAGCAGATACTGGGCGGGTCGGCAGCCTGGCTAGGGTGTGGCGCGTGACAGGTCAGTGCGAGGCGGGAGCGGGCAGGCCAGTCTGACTGGAAAGAAAACGCCGCGGATTGTCTACACTCGGCCCGCAGCTGCGCTCAAACGGAATAAAGCGACCCAAACTGACCTGCTGCAGAGACATGCAGCTGTCCAGGTAACCGGCTGCATGGAATGTCTGTCACTCCTGCAGGAGGACAGCAAAGACGGTTCCTGTGTGCGCTGTGAGTAGGTCAATGATCTGCTCAGCCTGGTGGCTGAGCTTAAGGAGAAAGTGGAAAGACTGAGATCCATTTGCAAATGCGAAAAGGAAATTGATTGGTGGAGCCACACCCTGCCATCCTTAGGGAAGAAGGAGCAGGTGGAGGTTCCACGAGAGGTAGAGAATCTCCTGCCCTTTTATCCCTAGGCAGAAGGAGGGGAAGTAGGAGAGGATGAGGGGGAGTGGAAGCAGGTACCTGCTTGGGGCAGCAGGAGAGGACCCTCCAGGCCTCCCCCGCCTTCCCAGGTGCCCGTACAGAACAGGCACAAGCCTTTGGAGACAGAGGATGAGGGAATCATAAGTACTGATAAAGGCTTATCCAGCGAGTTGCTGAAGCAGCCAGCTCCATGTATTGATCCATTTGCAAATGCGAAAAGGAAATTGATTGGTGGAGCCACACCCTGCCATCCTTAGGGAAGAAGGAGCAGGTGGAGGTTCCACGAGAGGTAGAGAATCTCCTGCCCTTTTATCCCTAGGCAGAAGGAGGGGAAGTAGGAGAGGATGAGGGGGAGTGGAAGCAGGTACCTGCTTGGGGCAGCAGGAGAGGACCCTCCAGGCCTCCCCCGCCTTCCCAGGTGCCTGTACAGAACAGGCACAAGCCTTTGGAGACAGAGGATGAGGGAATCATAAGTACTGATAAAGGCTTATCCAGCGAGTTGCTGAAGCAGCCAGCTCCATGTATTGAGACCTGCCTCTGTGAAGAAAAGGAGGAGGGTGATAGTTATAGGTGGTTCCATTCTGAGGGGAACTGAAGGTCCCATATGCCAGCTGAACCCTTCCCACAGGGAGGTCTGTTGCCTCCCAGGGGCCCGTGTTAGGGCTATAACCAGGAAGCTTCCTGTCTCAATACAGCCCTCAGATTATTACCCACTTGCGATTTTGCAGGTAGATAATGATGAACCAGTGAGAAGTCTCAGGACGATGAAGAAAGATTTCAGGGCTTTGGGACAGCTAGCCAAGGATTCAGGAGCACAAATTGTGTTTTCCTCTGTCCCTCCGGTTTTGGGGACTGATGACTGGATAAACAAAAAGACCAGGCAGATCAATGCCTGGCTCTGTAACTGGTGCTACCAGCAGGGCTTTAGGTTCACAGACCATAGTTTGATTTACAGGACACTGGGTCTGCTTGAGTATAATGGGAAAACCCTATCCTGAAAGGGGAAAAGGGTATTAGGCCAAGAGTTAGCAAAGCTCATGGACAGGGCTTTGAACTAGAATCAAAGGGGGAAGGGGATAAAACCAGGCCCACTAGTAATGAGCCTGGGGGTAAAGGGTCAAGGAATGGGGTGAAATTGGGAGCCCAGCTCAAGTGCATCTACACTAATGCACATAGCATGGGCAACAAACAGGATGAGCTGGAAGCTGTTGTGCAGCAGGACAGCAGCTATGATGCAGTTGCCATCACAGAAACATGGTGGGATGACGGTCATGACTGCAATGCTGTGATGGATGACTGTAAGCTCTTCAGGAGCGATAGGCAAGGAATGAGAGGTGAGGGGGTGGCTCTGTATGTTAGGGAGTGTTTTGACTGTATAGAGCTAGATTCCAGTGATGATAAAGTTGAGTGTTTATAGGTAAGGATGAAAGGGAAGGCTAACAAGGGGGATTTTGTGCTGGGAGTCTGTTATAGACCACCCAACCAGGATGAGGAAGCAGATGAGGTATTCTATAAGGGACTGGCTAAAGTCTCTCAATCACCAGCCCTTTTTCTGGTTGGGGACTTCAGCCTACCAGACATCTGCTGGAAATAGAACACAGCAGAGAGCAGGCAGGCTAGGACGTTCCTTGAGTGTATGGAAGATAACTTCCTGACACAACTGGTAGGTGAGCCAACCAGGGGAGGCGCCTCACTAGACCTACTGCTCACAAACAGAGAGGGACTAGTGGGAGATATGGTGGTCAGAGGCTGTCTTGGGCTTAGTGACCATGAAATGGTCAAGTTTTCAATAATTGGAGAGGTAAGGAAGGGGGTTAGCAAAGCTTCCACCTTGGATTTCTGGAGTGTGGACTTCAGCCTGTTCAGATCACTGGTTAGGGAAGTCCCTTGGGAGGCAGCCCTGAAGGGCAAAGGAGTTCAGGAAGGCTGGGTGTTTTTCAAGGAGGAAGTCTTAAAAACTCAGGCACAGGCCATCCCTGTGCACTGTAAAGCAAGCCATTGGGGGGGGGAAAGACCGATGTGGCTGAACAAAGAGATAGGGTCATAGCTCAAGGGAAAAAAGGAGAGTTTATGGCCTTTGGAAAAAGGGGCAGGCCACTCAGGAAAATTACAAAGGTGTAGTAAAGTTATGTAGGGAAAAAGATTTGAAAGGCCAAAGCCCAGCTAGAACTTAGCCTGGCCTTGGATGTTAAAAACAATAAAAAGAATTTCTATAAAAATATTAGTAGCAAGAAGAGGACTCAGAAGAACCTCCATCCTCTATTGGATATAGGAGGTAATGTAGTGACACAGGGTGAGGAGAAGGCTGAGGTACTGAATGCCTTCTTTGCTTCAGTCTTCAGTAGTAGAGTAGGAGGTTTCCTAAGTACCCAGACCCATGAACTAGCAAACAGGAGTGGGGAGCAGAATGAAGCCCCTGTAATGTAAAGCGAGGTGGTGAGGGACCTGGTCCAACACCTAAATACAAACAAGTCTATGGGACCAGATGGGATCCACCCAAGGGAACTGAGAGAGCTGGCAGAAGTGCTTGCAGAGCCACTTTCCATCATTTACCAACAGTCCTGGCAAACTGGGGAGGTCCCAGCTGACTGGCACCTAGCAGATGTGACACCCATCCACAAGAAGGGTCAGAAGGATGATGCAAGGAACTACAGGCCTGTCAGTCTGACCTCGGTGCCTGGGAAGGTCACAGAACAGATCATCCTGAGTGCCATTATGCAGCGCATGAAGGACACCCAGGTGATCAGGCCCAGCCAGCATGGGCTCATGAGGGGCAGGTCCTGCTTGACAAATCTCCTTCTATGATAAAGTGACCCGCTTGGTGAATGAGGGAAAGGCTGTGCATTACCTGGACTTTAGCAAGGCCTTTGATACAGTCTCCCACAGTTTCCTCCTGGAGAAACTGGCTGCCCATGGCTTAGATGGGAGTAGTCTCCACTGGGTTAAAAACTGGCTGGACGGCCGGGCCCAGAGAGTGGTGGTGAATGGAGTTAAATCCAGTTGGAGGCTGGTCACGAGTGGTGTCCCCCAGGGCTCGGTACTGGGGCCAGCTCTCGTTAACATCTTTATCGATGATCTGGACGAGGGGATCGAGTGCACCCTCAGTCAGTTCACAGACACCACCAAGTTTGGTGGGAGTGTCGACCTGCTGGAGGGTAGAAAGGCCTTGCAGAGGGATCTGGACAGGCTGGATCGATGGGCTGAGACCAATGGGATGAAGTTCAAGAAGGCCAAGTGCTGGGTCCCGCGTCACACCAACCCCCTGCAGCGCTACAGGCTTGGGGCAGAGTGGCTGGAGCTGCCTGGCAGAAAAGGACCTGGGGGTGACGGTCGACTGTCAGCTGAACGTGAGCCAGCAATGTGTCCAGGTGGCCAAGAAGGCCAACAGTAGCTTGGCCTGTATCAGGAACAGCGTGGTGAGTAGGACTCAAGAGGTGATCGTCCCCCTGTACTCGGCACTGGTGAGGCCCCACCTTGAGGACTGTGTCCAGTTTTGGGCCCCTCACCACAAAAAAGACATGGAGGTGCTGGAGCGGGTCCAGAGAAGGGCAATGAAGCTGGTGAGGGGTCTGGAGCACAAGTCTTATGAGGAGAGGCTAAGGAAGCAGGGGTTGTTCAGCCTGGAGAAAAGGAGGCTGAGGGGAGACCTTATTGCTCTCTACAACTACCTGAACGGAGGTTGTAGAGAGGCGGGGGTCGGGCTCTTCTCCCAAGTCACAGGTGACAGGACTAGAGGAAAAGGTCTCAAGTTGCACCAGGGGAGGAATCACAGTACCACTAACTCTTCAACTAGAAGTAGCCAGAAGTGAGCTAACTCTGAAAGGGCTAAACTCTCTAGATAAATACTGTATAAATGTAGTTTGAGCGAGATACATTGTGTATCTGTTTAAGGTATCCTATATACCTTCATTGCTAACCTTTACAGTGGCGTTCCTATAAAGTGATGACACATGCATTCTTTAATGCAAAGTTTAGAAACTACCTAAACCAATTTTACTGCCCTAAAGTTTGCCTACCGTTGCGCAGGGTCTCTGTGAAATGGCAGTAATCAGCTGATGAACCATTTGCACATTTGCATTAAGCATGGCCATCAGCTTACAGAGACACATTAAATACTTCATTGCATTAACATCTTAATTTCATCCCACCAGTCAGTAGAGATCACCTTGACAATAAATAAGATTTAAACATATTGCTGAGCCAGTCATCAGTTTTCTTTACCGTCTAAAATCTCAACTGACTATAACTGAGGGACAGATACATTCATAGAGTTTGGCAAGAATGACTACAAGCTACTTGGAAGGCATGTTGAAATGTGTTCAAACCTAGAGTTTGTAACTTAGAGGAAAGTTTTTTTTAGGGAAGGGAAAGATTCAAATGTGAAAATAACCTTCAAGAAAAACACAAACCAGATATCTATGAATCTTTAACCCACATATTAGAATACCCTTCAATGAAGGCCATGCCAGGGATGGAAGTCTTGTTTAAGAAATGGGTCCCAACTAGATTTGTTAACCTGAGTGTCTCATCAGTGTTTAACTTAAGGGACGGCAGGGGGGATCAAGCCTGTAAGTTCCTATACTTTCAATAACCATGTTTTTCTTTAACTTCTGTAAAGTAGTTAGTAAACTCGGGGAATAAATCACTAGTTACTTCTGTCTGAATATGACAAACACAGTCACTTTTCCTTTTTTACACATGCATAGAGTGACTAGTTATTTCAAGGGTGGCTGGCAAAGGGGTGGGCAAAGCACCGAGAAGCAGACTTGGCCGCCCTGCCAATGCCAATGCAAGCTTTAACATCCCCGAGATTCTTTTGCACCAGCTCTCTACCACCTGGTCCATTCTCTATCTTTAACTGGATCTGGAACTTCTCAGATTCTTCCACTCTTAAGCTTACTCAGATAAAGAAATGGAGGGGAAGGGAGGAGGCTTACATTTTGTTGGTTGGGTTTTTGTTTGGTTGGTTGGTTTGTTTCATTTTTTTTCTGTTTTGATTTCCTGCTCTGTTAACTCCTGCTGAGTTAAATCAGCTCAGAAAAGAGGTATTCTTAAGATAAGCAGCAGAACCATGTCACCAGTCCAGGATCAAGAAGGGACAAGAGGGAAGGGACAGGGGAACTGATGACCACAGACACAGCCTTTTTTTCTGCTGCAATACCATACTAATTCATCACTGAATCAAAATGTCAATAAGCCCAGAAATTTAGCAGAAAGACTGTCAAACCTTCTTCCTGGCTACAGCAAGGTAAAAAATTTCTAAAAAATTCAATCTTAAGAAAACATGTAGAGGAAATCCATGAAAGATTACGTTTCTCCAAAGCACAGAAAAGGAAAGAGCACTCTTCTGCTTGGAGGCAGAAAGCATCTACTGCACGAAGTAGGGAAAGACTTTTAAGGTTTGATCCTAAGGTGTGATTTTTCCAACCTTCCTTTAGTTCATGTATTTTATAAGAACATGTAATTGTGTTGTGTACCTCAGGTGTTACAGATAAATACTTTTATTCAGATTTGACCTTAACGTAAACTAATAAAAATACAAAACTATTTCTGACCACAGAAGGCATTATGTCCTGACATAACTCTGCAAGCTAATCAAATTCTAACAAAAGGGGTGACACAGTCTTTGTAAAGGTAGGTGCATACCTCCTAAACTGATCCTACCTGACCAAGTCGGACAAACTCTGCTTGCCGAGCTTCCTCTTTTTTCCGTGTTGATTTTGGTGACTCTGGTAACACATCACTGAAGGACCTTCTGTTGAGCACGTTCTAAAACAGAAACCGTTTCTTTTTTAAACTCAACCAAAAGTTTTCACAGTCTTTTAATCTGAGTTAACTTAGTGTGATATCATTTAAATTTTCTGTCTTTTTGGGGGTATTTTCCTGTAGTGATGAATCTAACTGTATAGCATCTCAGAGAATAGAAATTGCAACTCCTCCAGTCCTTCAGTGATTTACTTTCCAACTTGTCATAGCTTATCACTGTCATGTTATATACAATTACGACAAAGACCTCAGACCTTGCGGTCGGCGAGGCGGCGGCAGCACCGGCAGCACCAGCGACGAGAACTGAGGTGAGCTGGAGGCGAGGGCCGGACGGCGCCGCACAGACGGGTTCCGAGCTCAGAGACACCCCCGCCATCACAGCCCGAGCCCCAGTCTGAACCAGGAAGTCCGCGGCAGCCAATCAGGCGCGGAGGGGGCGCGGCCAGGAGCTGCGCGGAGATTAACGGCGGTCAGAGCAGATACTGGGCGGGTCGGCAGCCTGGCTAGGGTGTGGCGCGTGACAGGTCAGTGCGAGGCGGGAGCGGGCAGGCCAGTCTGACTGGAAAGAAAACGCCGCGGATTGTCTACACTCGGCCCGCAGCTGCGCTCAAACGGAATAAAGCGACCCAAACTGACCTGCTGCAGAGACATGCAGCTGTCCAGGTAACCGGCTGCATGGAATGTCTGTCACTCCTGCAGGAGGACAGCAAAGACGGTTCCTGTGTGCGCTGTGAGTAGGTCAATGATCTGCTCAGCCTGGTGGCTGAGCTTAAGGAGAAAGTGGAAAGACTGAGATCCATTTGCAAATGCGAAAAGGAAATTGATTGGTGGAGCCACACCCTGCCATCCTTAGGGAAGAAGGAGCAGGTGGAGGTTCCACGAGAGGTAGAGAATCTCCTGCCCTTTTATCCCTAGGCAGAAGGAGGGGAAGTAGGAGAGGATGAGGGGGAGTGGAAGCAGGTACCTGCTTGGGGCAGCAGGAGAGGACCCTCCAGGCCTCCCCCGCCTTCCCAGGTGCCTGTACAGAACAGGCACAAGCCTTTGGAGACAGAGGATGAGGGAATCATAAGTACTGATAAAGGCTTATCCAGCGAGTTGCTGAAGCAGCCAGCTCCATGTATTGAGACCTGCCTCTGTGAAGAAAAGGAGGAGGGTGATAGTTATAGGTGGTTCCATTCTGAGGGGAACTGAAGGTCCCATATGCCAGCTGAACCCTTCCCACAGGGAGGTCTGTTGCCTCCCAGGGGCCCGTGTTAGGGCTATAACCAGGAAGCTTCCTGTCTCAATACAGCCCTCAGATTATTACCCACTTGCGATTTTGCAGGTAGATAATGATGAACCAGTGAGAAGTCTCAGGACGATGAAGAAAGATTTCAGGGCTTTGGGACAGCTAGCCAAGGATTCAGGAGCACAAATTGTGTTTTCCTCTGTCCCTCCGGTTTTGGGGACTGATGACTGGATAAACAAAAAGACCAGGCAGATCAATGCCTGGCTCTGTAACTGGTGCTACCAGCAGGGCTTTAGGTTCACAGACCATAGTTTGATTTACAGGACACTGGGTCTGCTTGAGTATAATGGGAAAACCCTATCCTGAAAGGGGAAAAGGGTATTAGGCCAAGAGTTAGCAAAGCTCATGGACAGGGCTTTGAACTAGAATCAAAGGGGGAAGGGGATAAAACCAGGCCCACTAGTAATGAGCCTGGGGGTAAAGGGTCAAGGAATGGGGTGAAATTGGGAGCCCAGCTCAAGTGCATCTACACTAATGCACATAGCATGGGCAACAAACAGGATGAGCTGGAAGCTGTTGTGCAGCAGGACAGCAGCTATGATGCAGTTGCCATCACAGAAACATGGTGGGATGACGGTCATGACTGCAATGCTGTGATGGATGACTGTAAGCTCTTCAGGAGCGATAGGCAAGGAATGAGAGGTGAGGGGGTGGCTCTGTATGTTAGGGAGTGTTTTGACTGTATAGAGCTAGATTCCAGCTATGATGCAGTTGCCATCACAGAAACATGGTGGGATGACGGTCATGACTGCAATGCTGTGATGGATGACTGGAAGCTCTTCAGGAGCGATAGGCAAGGAATGAGCGGTGAGGGGGTGGCTCTGTATGTTAGGGAGTGTTTTGACTGTATAGAGCTAGATTCCAGTGATGATAAAGTTGAGTGTTTATAGGTAATGATGAAAGGGAAGGCTAACAAGGGGGATTTTGTGCTGGGAGTCTGTTATAGACCACCCAACCAGGATGAGGAAGCAGATGAGGTATTCTATAAGGGACTGGCTAAAGTCTCTCAATCACCAGCCCTTTTTCTGGTTGGGGACTTCAGCCTACCAGACATCTGCTGGAAATAGAACACAGCAGAGAGCAGGCAGGCTAGGACGTTCCTTGAGTGTATGGAAGATAACTTCCTGACACAACTGGTAGGTGAGCCAACCAGGGGAGGCGCCTCACTAGACCTACTGCTCACAAACAGAGAGGGACTAGTGGGAGATATGGTGGTCAGAGGCTGTCTTGGGCTTAGTGACCATGAAATGGTCAAGTTTTCAATAATTGGAGAGGTAAGGAAGGGGGTTAGCAAAGCTTCCACCTTGGATTTCTGGAGTGTGGACTTCAGCCTGTTCAGATCACTGGTTAGGGAAGTCCCTTGGGAGGCAGCCCTGAAGGGCAAAGGAGTTCAGGAAGGCTGGGTGTTTTTCAAGGAGGAAGTCTTAAAAACTCAGGCACAGGCCATCCCTGTGCACTGTAAAGCAAGCCATTGGGGGGGGGAAAGACCGATGTGGCTGAACAAAGAGATAGGGTCATAGCTCAAGGGAAAAAAGGAGAGTTTATGGCCTTTGGAAAAAGGGGCAGGCCACTCAGGAAAATTACAAAGGTGTAGTAAAGTTATGTAGGGAAAAAGATTTGAAAGGCCAAAGCCCAGCTAGAACTTAGCCTGGCCTTGGATGTTAAAAACAATAAAAAGAATTTCTATAAAAATATTAGTAGCAAGAAGAGGACTCAGAAGAACCTCCATCCTCTATTGGATATAGGAGGTAATGTAGTGACACAGGGTGAGGAGAAGGCTGAGGTACTGAATGCCTTCTTTGCTTCAGTCTTCAGTAGTAGAGTAGGAGGTTTCCTAAGTACCCAGACCCATGAACTAGCAAACAGGAGTGGGGAGCAGAATGAAGCCCCTGTAATGTAAAGCGAGGTGGTGAGGGACCTGGTCCAACACCTAAATACAAACAAGTCTATGGGACCAGATGGGATCCACCCAAGGGAACTGAGAGAGCTGGCAGAAGTGCTTGCAGAGCCACTTTCCATCATTTACCAACAGTCCTGGCAAACTGGGGAGGTCCCAGCTGACTGGCACCTAGCAGATGTGACACCCATCCACAAGAAGGGTCAGAAGGATGATGCAAGGAACTACAGGCCTGTCAGTCTGACCTCGGTGCCTGGGAAGGTCACAGAACAGATCATCCTGAGTGCCATTATGCAGCGCATGAAGGACACCCAGGTGATCAGGCCCAGCCAGCATGGGCTCATGAGGGGCAGGTCCTGCTTGACAAATCTCCTTCTATGATAAAGTGACCCGCTTGGTGAATGAGGGAAAGGCTGTGCATTACCTGGACTTTAGCAAGGCCTTTGATACAGTCTCCCACAGTTTCCTCCTGGAGAAACTGGCTGCCCATGGCTTAGATGGGAGTAGTCTCCACTGGGTTAAAAACTGGCTGGACGGCCGGGCCCAGAGAGTGGTGGTGAATGGAGTTAAATCCAGTTGGAGGCTGGTCACGAGTGGTGTCCCCCAGGGCTCGGTACTGGGGCCAGCTCTCGTTAACATCTTTATCGATGATCTGGACGAGGGGATCGAGTGCACCCTCAGTCAGTTCACAGACACCACCAAGTTTGGTGGGAGTGTCGACCTGCTGGAGGGTAGAAAGGCCTTGCAGAGGGATCTGGACAGGCTGGATCGATGGGCTGAGACCAATGGGATGAAGTTCAAGAAGGCCAAGTGCTGGGTCCCGCGTCACACCAACCCCCTGCAGCGCTACAGGCTTGGGGCAGAGTGGCTGGAGCTGCCTGGCAGAAAAGGACCTGGGGGTGACGGTCGACTGTCAGCTGAACGTGAGCCAGCAATGTGTCCAGGTGGCCAAGAAGGCCAACAGTAGCTTGGCCTGTATCAGGAACAGCGTGGTGAGTAGGACTCAAGAGGTGATCGTCCCCCTGTACTCGGCACTGGTGAGGCCCCACCTTGAGGACTGTGTCCAGTTTTGGGCCCCTCACCACAAAAAAGACATGGAGGTGCTGGAGCGGGTCCAGAGAAGGGCAATGAAGCTGGTGAGGGGTCTGGAGCACAAGTCTTATGAGGAGAGGCTAAGGAAGCAGGGGTTGTTCAGCCTGGAGAAAAGGAGGCTGAGGGGAGACCTTATTGCTCTCTACAACTACCTGAACGGAGGTTGTAGAGAGGCGGGGGTCGGTCTCTTCTCCCAAGTCACAGGTGACAGGACTAGAGGAAAAGGTCTCAAGTTGCACCAGGGGAGGATATTCAGGATGGATATTAGGAAAAATTTTTACACTGGAAGCAATCCAAATTAAGCATTGGAATAGGCTGCCCAGTGAAGTGGTTGAGGCATGGTCCCTGAAGGTGTTCAAAAGACAGGTTGACAGGGTGCTGGGGGACATGGTTTAGTGATGGCTTTTTTTGTCAGAGTTGGTTTGATGGTTGGACTAGATGATATTGAAGGTCCCTTCCAACCTAGATGATTCTATGACACGAGCAGATCTATTTAGCTAAGAGACACAAACAGTGAGGAAAAAATAGCTTCTTGCTAATTTTAGAAATATTGAACTTCTTTTTAGTTAAGAATGACCTTAAGAGTAAATCTTCACCATCTAAAATGAAGTTCTCATTGTTACCCAAGGGTAAAAAATGATCAAATTTACACATAATGAAACGAGTAAGTGCAGTTTTTATGGTGATGAGACTAATACCTGCATTTACAGAGCCTAAGTTTCCTATTCCCTTGCTGCAAGGAAGATTATTCAAAGTGTGACACTGTTAGGCTGCTTCTCACACCTGGTTTAAACAAATGCATGAAGAGTCTTATCCTGAAAGGACTGCTTGTCAGCTTTCATTCAACTGTAAACCAAGTTATATGACAGCTAGTATTTAGTCTAGTGTATGCAATTCAGGGCTCATTAGGATTACGGTCTTTTAAAGCAGTAGAACATTCAATTGACTAGTGAAAACAGGAGAGCACATGCAATCGATGTAGAGACTTCTGACTTACATTCACCTTGTGTAGATCAGGCATCAGGTCTTGGTATAAGGAGCGGATCAGCATGTCTAGAGTGCGTTGACGTTTCTGAGAAAATGTTGGGGTTTCCAAGGTGGCTTTTTCCCCATTTATTACTAAAATATTATGGAAAAAAGATACATTACCTAAATGAAATTTGACAACTTCCTCTGATTCTAGTTTGCCTCCCTACAAAAATATCTTTTTTACCATGAGTAATTTAGAGTTTCCTCCTTTTTGCACATCTTTTAGTGAATAATAATCCCTTAAAATTAAAAAGAGAAAAATTACTAATAGGAGAATTCTACAAGGCATCCCAATAACCTAACTAATCAAAAAATTAAAACCAAGCCTTTAATCAATTTAAACACTGAACCAATTTAAATATATGAAATTAGTTACTGGTCAAGTTGCTGTCAGGTATCGCGATCAGTTCTCCAAGCTTTCTTTCTTGCTGATTTAGAAGGGCAAGTAAGGGTTAATGAAAACTGGAACTCTATTACAGTATTAAAAAGTTCTTGAAGGTGCTGAAAGGGACTTATGCAGCACGCATTTAGAAAAGCTTATGTTCTCAGAGCTGCTAACCTAACATCTTCTATTACTAAATACCAAAGAGCATTATAAATTCTTCCCAATCTCCAAGTCCTTTAAGAAAATGCTAGGCTAAATATGGCCGTACATTCTGCAAATGTAAAAGTCAGTTTGTATCTAGTAGCCTGAGAAGCATAATTGCATAGAAATTCAGGTTTTTGTTAATCTGACTTGAATAGTTTGATGGAACTGATGCTACAGATTTGAAAATAAATTCTGTACAGAATAGCAGCATACACAAGAAAATGTTTACATTTTAAGAATCATTAATTTCAATTTATTAAAGCACTTATTAAAAAACTGTTTCCAGCAAAAGAAAAATTGACTTACATTTCACTAACACAAAATCCCTGAATTCCTGGTGATTTGTAAACACAGGTGGGGATGGAAGGGGAGGCCCAAAGAGAGGAACACTTTCTTCTGAAAATATTTTCAGCCTATTGAAAGAACAAATCTTTATCTTTATTGAAAGTCACATTCAAAAGCCAGTTTTTATAGACACTATTTAAACCAGAAGAAAGAACTGGAAACTGTTATCTGGATATGTCTTTGGGTCTAACAAAAAATGTTCACTTGGAATTATTGCCTTGAGCAAAATTCTGCTTCCTTTACACCAACTCACACTGGGACACTAACAATTACAACACAACTTTGCTGCTCTACTTATAGAACTATGCCTTTAGTGGCACTAGTAAATTCCTAATATAAATTCCTAATATAAATTCTTTAGCCATGAGAGACTTCAGCATCCAAGCTGGAAGTGATTTGAAGCCTAACCAATCCTCTCCTCAGGCACATATCCAAAAGAGAACATAACTTTCCCACTTCTTTTTGACCTAGTCTAAGTACTGTATGACTTAACATGCTTTCGATAAAAGAGGGACCACTACAGACATTGCCAGTACTTTGTAAAGGAGAAATAGCAGTGGCAAGTGTATGTCCTATACTGAGAATTGCAGCACACACTGTTAGCTAAAAGGTGGCTCTTATTCTCTTTACTGCTCATTTGGTTCAAGCTCAAGGTGAATCCCTCCCATGGGCTCGGACAATGACATCCCTCCCTTGGCTTGTTCAAGAGTGACAGATACCTTTGTCATCTCACCATTAATCTCAAGACAATATTTGGAAGTAACTATTTGATTAAAGCCACTTTGTCCATTAAAACCTAGACAAGAGGCTGCAGATATGCTTGTTTTTCAGCTTCTGGTGAGACCTAACAGACTCGGACAACATACGGCTCCAAGCGTAAGGGTCACAAGGCTAACTGAAAAACAGATGAAGAACACATTATTTACCAGCAAGATTCCACTAGGTTTTAAGTATGTGATGTCCAACTGTACAAGTACTCTATTAAGGTCCCTAAAAAAGAACTGGTTTGCCTGGCTACAACCAAACTCAGACCTGTGAGGATCCTCAGTCCACAGCTCTCACAACAGCACATCTAATTAACTTTCATCATACATGTAGTTCAGTATGTCATCAACCTCACCACATCAGAATGTTCCAGGCATATCTTCCATCATTTTATTACATTTCATCTAAATACTAGTTTTGCCCCCTCAGCTTATGCCTGTTCCAGAATTTCATTTTTCTGATGGTTAGAAACATGCAACTTATTCATAGCCAGTTTACAGCCCTCTGCATCCAGGTCCATACTGCTCTTCAAATTTCTAAGTCCATTTGGCTTCCTGGCATACAGACAGGTGGACAAGACAAAATGTTTTCCCGTTATCTCTAAACCATCAGAAATTCAGTGTGAAGCCATTTGTTACAATCAGCACCTACCTGTAACTATCATTCTGGTTATTATACCTCACTAAGGCAAAAATATCTGCCATGCAGTTAAGGAAGTTAATCCACTACTAATGAAGCTCACATTTATTTTGATACACTTTTTTTTCCTGCAGCAGATGACAGATTTAATAAAGGTAAAATATATTAATCAATGTAAATATATAAAATATTCTAGACTATACACATTTTACGGTTTATAAAGGAGGTCTCATACAAAATTTTGTTTGATCAACAGTTTTAAATATTGAGCTAGTACAAAGACAGACTTCTTGCTATTATATGAAGCATAAAATGTGATATACAATTTTGTTTCGTATCTGTTTGATGGACTTTTGATTAAAAATTCTTTTAGTTGATGAAAAAGTACCGATTCTGAACTTGGCTTATATCAAAACTTCAATTGAAGAAAAGATTCAACAGAATAATTTAGCTAACAGAATTATAAGAAAGTAGAGAGGATGATTTAAAGTGCAAGTACACAAAAGTGTATTAGCAGTCTTGATTCATAACTTTGGGAAAATGTGAGGAAAAAATCCTTACGGTTGTCTTGCAAGGTATTTTTATGGAATCAGTTAGAGACTTCTTGCTTTCATAGATTTCCTTAACACTGTCTCTAAGTTTTCAGTCCTTATAAACGGTGTCAAAGAAAGTGTAAGTCTAAGTAACTTCATTGGCTGTATGCCTATTTTCCAGACAGAATGAGGAGACCTCTGCCAATAGCTGGGATCAGTACTATCAGAGACTGCACAAAAAAAAAAAGACTTTATGGTGGCATTCAATTATTTCAACGTAAGCATCCAGTGCTATTTAAGAGGCTAGTCTCCAGCTGCACTTCCAAAGGGGCACAGATCTCCTGTACACCCAGAGTCTTATCTGCCAGACCGGTACAGACATTTCAGATACATTTCAGATCTAAATTGGTGCTGGATGCCTTTATTTGGGTAACTCAGTCCTAGCCCACAGATGACACATTGCTATATAGGACAGCACAGTAGGATATCCCTATGCTAATTTTTCCCGTTGTATAAGTAACAAAAAAGGAGTGTTATAGTATATAAGAAAGTAAGTACAAAGGGCTAGTACAGATTCAATGAGCTTTAAGATTTACCACATCTGACACAGATCAGTGTTAAGCCTCACTTTTCTTGCGGACACCTTTATCCCTAGCTACTGTGAACTGAAAATACCAGGAAGGTGATACGACTCCATCGACTAGCTGTGGATTACTTAATATAACCTAAATGATAACATGTCCTTATGGATTTAGGGTACATCTGCCACTCCAACTCATTGACATCAAGGGCAGTTGAACCTCAAAATGTTTGTCAGAAATCAAAGAGTGGGGTGTATCAATTATATTTAACAAGTGCTCCTAACAGTAATAACGGAAGAATGATTCCTTTTTTAACACTGACACGCTGATGAAGAGGTACATTTATTTGGTAAACATTTGTTATTAAAAATATCTAGATTCCTCCAATATCTAAAGATTTACCTTTTTTTTTTTAAATTGTAGAATTCTTTTTGTTCTAGTCACTTCTTCCATTTAAAAGAGTAAAATACGTTAATATTAAGAGATTAAATCTAAAAAGTAAGAGCAGTTGTGGATGAAACTAGCAAGAAAGTTCTAGCAAGACTTAGCCTGAGAACTAGCTTTAGAAGTTGTAAGCTTTGCGATCGTTTTTAAAAAACTTAGCAACAGAGCATGAATAGAAGGAAGAGTTTTCTTCTTTCCATCCATTTTTGTTCATTCCATTCCATCTAGCCTCAGAAATGCCAAATTGGGATCTATAGACCACTAGTGTGACCCCATGATAATCTCATGTGATTGGCAGCTGGTTTTTGGAATCATATCGTCTTCACAATGTTTTCAGCCAAAAGTCTGAAAAACACATTCTCCAGATTTTTGGCAGCCTATGTGATTTATGGTCTGAAGGACTTGAGAAATGCTGATCTAAAATACATAAACACCTAAAACAGACAGCATCTAAACATTAAAAGGCAATATTCAGTAGTTAATGGCAAATTAATACGCTTCACTAAATATTTTTATGAATTTATATTTTATGAAAATGTATGAAATTTAATTTGTGAAGTGATTCACTAAAAACGTGTTTTAAAAAAAAAATCACATTCTTGCTTTGACCTTATCTTCTAAGTGGTTCAACATAAAAATTGTTTTATGAAGCAGACTTAGAGATATCTAATCAAAGGCAAAGAATGGCACTGTTTTTCTAAAATAGTTTTCACTTCCATAAACAGCATGCAGGGTAGAATTAAAAGTAATATCGACCTTTGTAAAAATAAAATCACTAGAAAATGTAAGCAAAAAGATACGCGTAAAATGAGAGCGAATCATGGATGGCTTGAATGCTGGAGAAGACTCTTCACCTTCCTGAAATACGATAGTGACAATGTCATTTCCAATATGTCGCTTCCTTTCTACCTGGAAAAAAAAAGGAGGGGGAAAAAACAAAACAAAACAAAACAAAACCAGACAGACACAATGACTTAAAAAGATATAAATAAATACCAGAACATTTTTGTGAGAAAATGGTAAAACAATATTCCTGCACTGCAAACAGAAATATTACAGTCAATACGATTGAAGCCAATATAAAATTATTACTTAACTATAAGCAAGTAAACCTAGCAATGCCATGGTGCACACACAAGACAGCTACTGGAACAGCAGCTATTGCCTATTTTTAAGTTAGCAAAGCACTCATAATTCCATAATTTCCATAATTAGTATTCAAAAATTGGGTATGAAACACCTAGCATTCCAAAAAAGCAAATCTGCCACTTGAAATAAAAGGGAAAAAAACCCCGATGCTGAGTTATTCTTTAAACACAATAAATATCCCGACTGGTCTCTGGTTTCTGCTGATCTTGTCATCAATGCAAGGCAACAGCATGAGAAAGCAGCATGGAAATAAAAAAAGGACAATGTTATCATATAATCTAATTATATTATTAAAATAATACCATATAGTTATTGATTAAATAAGAAAATACTTGAACAAGTAATTTGCAAGTAATTTTAGGTAAATTATTATGGATGTGTGATATATAGGTCAACGAATGTGCTTATAAAGTATTTTTTTCACCATACAATGCATAGGTTCAAAGCAATGGATGACAGCACATTTGAGCAAGTACCCAAGAACCCCCTAGTCAATTTATGACAGTGCTACAGCTATGGTCTACAGAAAATGCACAAAGCTTGCCATTTACATGCTCACATGGGGAACTTCTTTCAAACTACCTTAACAGCTTGGCTGAGTACGAGTTGTGTGTTACATTGGTGAGTATTCTGACAATTCACACACAAGTTGAATTTCCAACCTTCCTAAATTCTTTGAAGTAATAATTGCAGCAATGAAGCTTTACAAGTCATTTGAATAACAGAATACTCAGTCACTCAGTCAATCAATTTTGACCTTCTTTGCAACTGTCTTTTGTACCATAATAAAGATGACATGGTGCATTATCTTCTAAAACACATCATGCAATTTTCAGCATTAGGTATAATATTAAGGAAAAAAATACAGCAAAGATATTAAGACTTACATTTCCGAAATATTAACGGGGGGGGGGGGGGGAAAAAAAAAACCA